AGACAGAGAGAGAGAGAGAGAGAAGAGCGCACAAGGACTTTTATATATTAGGATGGGAACATTCCAGCGTTAGATCACTCGCAGAGCAAAAGTTTAAATTTTTATTAAAAAAAATTATAAGTTCAAAAAAAGTGAAATTACTGGTGTTTTTTTTTTCAACGATTTATTATTTAGGTATTTAATTGACATGTGTTTTCGAAAAAAAATGTGTTAATTTGAATATTATGTCCATATGGTCCATATGTTCCTGAAAGGAAATAATGTTTTAATATGTATCGCTAATAGAAATGTTTTTAATAGAAGTAGTCGCAGAGTGTTTATTTTCTATCATTGTAAAAAAAAATTTGAGAAATTCACTTTATAGACAATAAAAACAAGGAAAACAATTCGTTCTTAATGAAGAGTTTTATAGATGAAAATGTCGACAAAATCAATGTGGAAGTTATAATGGGACGATTGTCAACATTAAAATAAGGCCTACCTCTTTTTTCTGGTCAATTTGATTTGCATACATCACATAAATCAATGTTCTATTTCGGCAGCGCGGTCCCGCGGCCGTGTAGTAATTTTGAACCTGTCAATCCGTAGTCTGGACCTTGCCGTGCAGTCATTTTGTAAAATACACATAACCTTGAATAAGACTTCCAAAACACAGTGCGCATATAAATAAACGACGCACACTAGCTTTCCCCCTCATAGATAGCGATTATAGACGATTTTAAAACTCTCAAACATATGAAGCTGACACGTATCTATATCATAAGTACACATGGATTTGCCCAAACCACGACCAAAGAAACGTTCTCGAGAGGTTTGAAAAAGGAGACTAGAGCAAGTTATTGATAACAATAATAAAATATTTAGATTGTCATTGAGTTCTCAATCTTTTCAGGCATATTAAAACAGGTATCGCGAGAGCTTGGTATCTCAGATTGTCGCCCATAGTGAACTGTAAACGAAACATAAAAAAATACCCTTATAAACTGATTTGTAAGAAATATATGAATTTTTAGGAATAAAATTAGCGATGATAATCATTACTTCGAAACTTGAGACTACTGATCCACTGAACCTGATCTCCAGATGTCATAACTTGCTAATGCGATGCCGAGAAAAAAATCTGATATCTAAAGAGCATGTGTATGTAAATGACAGACATGAACGCAATTATGTGTAAAATCAAATAACCCAGAATGAATATAGACAAATAATAGCATGTGCTCTCATTTATGGATTATTTAAAGGAATGATCACCTCTAGGCTTATTTGATGCGACAAGAGAGGAGAATAAGAACAGAACAAACACTTTGTGTGATGTCTGACACGTTCATGTATGTTGTATAACATCATATAACTGCTTCCAGAAGCTCCATTCTTAGATGTCTATACACTCATTAGGGACATTATGTGTCCTTGTCTATCTATCTATATATATAAAAAGCAATGTATGTGTGTGTGTGTGTGTGTCTGTGTGTGTGTATGTCTTTTATGCATTACCACACCTCTTATCACATCGCCGTCGAACTTTTGGAAAAATATTCCTGTGGAGGTTTCTGCGGAAAAAAAATTCAAATTCGCAGGGGTGGCGCGATTTGTTTTTTCTCTATATACGGTATATAAAAAATAAGATTCGATTGCAGGTTCACACTGTTCGTCCAATCGCCGTCAAATTTTGGGGAGTTGATAAGAGCAAGTCAGGGAAGGGTTCTGTAAAATAACCCTTTTTAATTTCGCAAGGGCGGCGCCACGGGAGGTTGCGATTTTTCTCTATATACGGTATATAAAAATAATAAAAGTGAATTGCATTGACACCGTTCACACGATCGCCATGAAACTTTGGGAATATGTTGAAAATATTCCTGGGGAGGTTTCTGCTTAAAATACATTTTCAAATTTGCAGGGTGGCGCTCCAGAAGGGCGCGATTTGTTTTCTCTCTATATACGGTATATAAAAATAAGAGTCGATTGCAGATTTACACTGTTCATCCTATCGCCGTCAAACTTTGGGGAGTTGAGTAGAGCAATATAGGGAAGTGTTCTGTAAAAAAAAATCCGCTTTAATTTCGCAACGTCGGCGCAACGGGAGGTTGCGATTTTTCTCTATATACGGTATATAAAAAAAGTCGATTTTGGTTTGACATTCTTCATCCGATGGCCATGAGACTTTGGGGAGTTCATTATAACACTCTAAGGAAGGGTTCTGTAAAAAAAAAATTTTTTTTTAATTTCGCAAGGGCGGCGCCACGGGAGGGTGCGATTTTTTTCTATATACGATTGCGGTTCGACACAGTTTATCAGAGTGCCTTAGGGAGTTGGTGAACACTGCCGAGAAGATTTCTGGGGTGGGGGTGGGGGTGGTGGGAAATGGGGGATTTGATTTTGCATGGGCTGCCCCCCCGGAATGATGCGATTTGGCGCCCTGTCTTTCCGGTGAGCGCTATGGCGACTAAACAGTGTGATAGACAATGGATAGGATGGGGCGTTACAAACGCTCACTAAATTGAATCAGGCGTGTCCGCCGGCGCCCTGGTAGGGTGCGATTTGGCTGCAAACAAAACAATTCAGTTTTTGCCCCAAAAGGCTCACACGCCACTGAGGGCAATACAATACGTTTTATTTTAATAATCAGAAAAATTAACCAAAGTTAAACTATTAACTGGGATCTTTCTTTTTGTTTCGTCACTTTGCGAATGATGCAATTTGCATCTATTTTTAGACAATCCAATCAGAAATTGAGATCGAGCATCTAATAATAAACTATTAGTAGCGCTAACATATTGCATCAGTCAGATTGATGTTTAAAACACGTCAAATAATTTGTTAACGTGTTAAAAAAATTTTTTGTTCATTTGTGTCACTTTATCGAATGACGCAATCTGTATCATTTTAACAGGATGCTATTTGGCACTCTGGGTTATCCTACGACCACGATGGCGCCTGTTAGTTTTAAGGAGCCAGTGGCCGTACTCGGCGCCTATGCGGTAGTGTAATCGGGGCTGGGGGAGGGGGGCTCCTGAGAGCGCCCATCTACGTCCCTGACACATCGGCGGTCACCGAAGTGTGTTCTACATCATTATTTCGGTGAATGATTAATGTACACTCAAGGTTTTCATGCGGTAGTGTAGGTAAACTCGTGTCCCGATACTTATCCAAGCGTAGGCATTGTTTACATTTAAATAACTCAGTTTTAGAAAACAAGGTCACGCATCTAAGAATATAGGATTGGTAACGCATGAATGAAACCCTTCTTATATATTTCTTCAGACTTTCTTCTATTCCCGCGGCAACGCGCGGGGGCGGGTACGCTAGTATATATATATATATAAAGCAATGTATGTCTTTGTGTCTGTTTGTCTGTCTTTAATACATTGCAACACCTCTCATCACATCGCCGTGAAACTTTGGGAAGTTGTTTTCAATTTTTCTGGGGAGGTTTCTGCGGAAAAAACAAAATCAAATCCCCAGGGATAGCGCCCCGGCAGGGCGCGATTAGTTTTTTCTCTATATACGATATATACAAGTAAAAGTCGATTTTGGTTTGACAGCGTTTACCCGATCGCCATCAATCTTTGGAGCATTCATTAGAACACTCTGGGGAAGGGTTCTGTAAAAAATCATTTTTAATTTCGCAAAGGCGGCGACACAGGAGGGTGCGATTTTTCTCTATATACGGTATTCAAAATAAAAATCGATTGCAGTTTCACACCATTCATCCGATAGTTATAAAATTTTGGGGAATTGATTACAATACTACCTGGAAGGGTTCTGCAAAACAATTTGTTTTATTTCGCAAGGACGGCGCCACGGGAGGTTGCGATTTCTTTCTGTATATGGTATACACAGCTTATCCGAGTGCCATAGTACTTTAGGGAGTTGATGAATACTCCCGAGAAGGTTTCTTGTGTGGAGGGGGGGGGGTGATTGGTGGTTGGAGGGGATTTAAATTTGCATGGACGGCCCCCCTACAGGATGCGATTTTGCGCACCGGTCATTCCCGTTAGCGCTTTGGCGACTACGTTTGTTCTAAACAGCGTAATTGACAATGAATAGGATGGGCGTTACGAAGGACCATTGAATTGTATCAGGCGTTTCCGCCGGCGCCCTGGAAGGGTGTTGTTTGGCTGCAAAAGAAAAATCAGTTTCGGCCCCTAAGGCTCACATAGGCTGCTTAGGGCCATGTAATACGTTTTATTTTAATAATACAAAAAATTAACCAAGGTTAGGTTATTAACTGGGATGTTTCTTTTTGTCCGTAAAAAAAATCCAAACTGTTTCGTCATTTTGCAAATGATGCAATTAGCACCTATTTTTAGACAATCCAATCAGAAATTAAGATTGACCATCTAATAATAGACCATTAGAAACGTGAACATATTGCACCAGTCGCACTGATGTTTAAAACATGTCAAATAATGTTTTAACGTGTTAAAGAAAAAATCCTGTTCATTTGTGTCACTTTTAGCGAATGACGCAATCTGCTTCGTTGTTAAGGGGATGCTGTTCAGCACGATGGCGCCTGTTAGTTTTAAGGAACCACGGGCCGTACGCGGCGCCTATGCAGAAGCGTAATCGGGGGCAGTAGCTCATGAGAGCACCCCTCTATGTCCTTGACATATGGGCGGTCACCAAAGTGTGTTCTACCTCATTATTTTGATGAGTGATTAATGTACACTCAAGGTTTTCATGCGGTAGTGTAGGTAAACCCGTGTCCCTATATTTATGATCCAAGCGGAGGCATTGTTTACATTTAAATAACTCACTTATAGAAAACAAGGTAATGGGTCTAAGAATATAGGATTGGTAACGCATGGATGAAACCCTTCTTATATATTTCGTCGGACTTTCTTCTATTCCCGCGGCTACGCGCGGGAACGGGAACGCTAGTTAATTATATAATCAACTTCTATTGTACCAAAGCCACCATTAACAATTTTAAAATTAAAATATTAATATAATTCATAACGCAACCTATTATAGATAGTTGTTCCCTTCCGAAAAATATGGACACTTTTGTTCCATGCTGTATGTAAAAAAACGTTTAACCTTATCAAGATATCTAATATTGATTATCATTTGAAAAGTATAAATTTCAATTTTAAACTAAGCTGAAAGAAAGATTTCTGCTAATTTGAAGGATTGACAAATGTAAATCCTCTTACTTCACCGGATTGCTGAAAGACCGACGGCCATTAAGTTATTAACTTTTATAATTTTCTATTTAGCTCTAACTTTATAGTTGCAAAAAAAATTTAAATAAAAAAATGTATTCATGTTGTAATTTTTAACAGTATCTATTGGAAATTACATATCAACAACAGAATTGTATTAATATTGAAAATGACATTAATTAATACAAATTGACAACAGCAGATCGCAATAAAAACAGAGAATCATAAAGAAGATTAAAAAATAAACCAGTTTTTTTTTTAAATATACAATTAAATCGCTTAGATATGATTTCTTTCGATGCTGTGTAGTTTTTGCGCTAATGTGATTTGAACATGATTTTCATTTTAAATATATTTTTAGATGATTTTGATGTATATTTAAAATAATTTTTTACATCATCAATATTATGAAATATTATCTATTCGAATTTAATTAAACGATAAGTCTTTAAAACTGTTAGAAAAACTGACATAAGTTAAATGTGACAGACAAAGATAACCACATCACACTGAACGAGTCTCAAGGTAATATCTCCAGCCCTGGATATCCATTTGGCAAACTTGACAACATGATGTACACCTGGACTATACAGGGCAAAGCTGACAGTTATATCGTCCTTAAGTAAGTTGACAATTTTAAAGAATTACCTTTTATAAACTAAAGCCCCGTATGTTAGTTGGTTGCTAAATATTTAAAAAAACCAATGATTTGCAAATGTAAGTTCTATCAAAATGACAGGAAGTTTAAATTGCAATAATTTTTTGCCTTTCCAAGTATTTTAGACTTAGGAGAAGATTGCCAGTATGATTATCTAAGAATATATGACGGACCCACAACATTTTCACCGATGTTTGGAAATTTCTGCTCATCAATTCAACCAGGGTTAATGGCCTCAACGGGAAACTCCATGTTTGTTGTGTTAAAAACGAATAGCTCCAACAAATATAAAGGCTTTTATGGAAATTATGAAATACTAGGTAAATATGTTTCGCTTTTACGATATACGGAGATTTAACAAAATTGTATTGTAAAACGGTGACGACGTTTACTGTTTGGTTGAATTTTAGTTTTTATTTTCAATATGTGGTTTCTGTTGAAATATAGATGCTTTATATCGAATAGTTAACCCAAATATGATGAATCTATATAATCTATTATTATTGTTAGTGTACATTTTTTTTAAATAGCTAAAAGCAATTCTCAAATTTTAACCAATATTTATATATATATATATATATATATATATATATATATATATATATATATATATATATATATATATATATATATATATGAAAGGAATATTGTTTAATTTTAATATGTAAATAATATTGATGCTTTCACATTAATTTCACCCTAAATTAATAATACATCACAATAATATGTAAAACAGAGAGACACTGTACACTTAATGAATCTGGCAACTTGCTAAGTCCTGGATATCCCTTAAAATATTTGAATGATCAGGAATTGTCATGGACAATCGCATCTTACGCTTCAAAACATATCATTCTAAAGTAGGTCATTATAACATTATCTTACTAAAACGTAGTACCAAATTAGTAAGTTACATTTTACATAAATTCTTTGTTCTCAAAAAAATAATTCTCTGGTAGCATAACGTTTGTGGAAACAGAGTCGTGTGACACAGACTATATAACCGTGTACGACGGAGATACAAGGAATGCTCGAAGTTTTGACCGAATTTGTGGTAGGGGAGTCTCAGGAGTGATTGTATCGACAACAAACAAACTGTTAGTCACTTTTACAACGAACAATGACGATACGTACGTAGGATTTTATGGAGAGTTTTATGCACACAGTAAGTTTTAGATTTGTATATAAAAAATATTAATAATGCAATTATTTGACAAATGCTTAAAAGTAATTTGCACGCTTGTCTTTCTTTTTTTAAGAAAGTTTTGCCGCAATGCCATCGATTCTCTTAATAAACTAGCCTTCCTGCCTATTGCCCAAGTTAATGAATCCCCGAAGGTATTTTTGTAGACATTTGTGCGAAACTCCGTCCAAAATACATTTTAGATTCAAATTAGCTAGAAAGGGAAACGTTTATGTTGTGCATGGTTGATTGAAAATTAATGATGTTTTTATGTGCCAAATTTATTTTAAATGTTTTGAAGCAAACCCGTATTTCTTTCTAATAAAAACAATATTAACATTTATTTAACATTTTCTTTAAAGGAAGTGTAAAACTAGGTCTCGTTCGTGGTGCGCTAGCAACGTATGGCCCTGTGTTGTTTCTTGCACAAATATCCTACTTATGTGACGCTAGCTAGAAACACATAAATGTTTATATTAACAGTTGTTTTCTTTAAAAACTGTTGACATTGTGTATATAATAGTATGTATATAAATCTTATTATAATTTAACATAACTACTTTATTATATACAACATAGAAATTGATTTTTTGTTTTGAAATAGTACATTTGTATATCTTAGTGGTTAGAAATATATTAACTCAAATACTCAATATGAATGATTATGCTAATAAATCGGAGGCGCTAATTCAACAAGCAGACTAATGTGTAATTCATCTGACGAGAATAATATCAAGGATAATGTTTTAGGTGACAAGAAGCAACAAAACTTTCTGACAACAATAATGGAAAATTATATACAGCTATCTAAATTTAAGGGAGCTTAAGCTAGATGCAGTTGAAAAGGGAGTTATGAATGGACTATTGTAAAAACCTAATAGTATTCCCCTCCAGAAATCTCTCTTTACAGTTTTACTTTACTAATTTGTACAAAACGTTATAAGAAGTTTGAAATTGTTAGATTGAAATCTGTTCTGATGGAGAGTAGACTAAATAGATACAAAGAATGGATAACTAAATCAGACCTCCAGAGACTGGTTGATGTCCTACAAATGAGAGGCACCTAAAATTCCGAACGCGGATTATATCAAACACCATAAAGTTCCAGAAAAGCTCATTAACATACTTTGTTCATTTAAATCTTTGCATTGTCAGGGCTAAAATACTCTAGTGTTATGGAGATGGGATTTTTTAGCAGCTTTTTGAAGGCTATGCTGCAAGGAACAGAGTCGGGGGTGGGATCGTGGCAAAAGGCAGTCCTAGCACATCAACAACAATCCAATGCTAATTTGAGATACTAGGAAAGGATAGCTGATATACATAACATATTCTTATAATGATCCTAAAAAATAGATACACGGTGTTTCATAGATTTGGTGTGTAAGTATCTACTAGAATAAAAATCAATGTGCTTTGCAAAGCCTTTTATCCATCGACATTAAATTAAAAACGAAATATGGATTTCTAATGACAATGGTTTCTACTAATTACTAAATTTGTCTAATGAAGGTGCTACGTATGTCTGAAACAATCAAGCCACAGATGTTAACATAGCACTACTGACGTTATTTTCAACATAAACGTCAACAGTTCAACCCCATTGCATACGTACTATTATTGTATTTCATAATATTGTGATTACACAATGAAGTTAAAATAAGTGATTTATGTTTATTAATGTTACAGTTAAAATATATAATAACAATATTTGGACTCAGGTTGGTATAATTAGAAGTACCAACAATAGATTTAGTAATTTCCAAGTGTTATATTGCCTACTTTGAAGTAGACACCATTTAAAGAATACTAGAAGTTTTAACAGACTTTCCGCTAATTGGGCCAGAGTTTGGTTAACTAAGTGAACACAAACGGTATGCTCAGTTTTGATAAAAAATGAAATAAAAGTTTTATGAAATTATTATAGCGTCTCGCATACGTGAAGATTTGTTTTTAAAGTCAAAATTTTTGTAATGCCTAAAACCTAAACAACATTTTTTAAAAATTTACGACTTGGGATAATGTATAATAAAATCGCTTAGACAGATATAATTTTTTAAGATGATGTATATTTCAATCTCTAATCAGATATAAGAATGAATGTTTTAATTTAATTTGAAATGATTGTAATATTAATTTAAAAATAATGTTTATTCATCCATCAATATTATGTAATATTATTTATGGGAATCACATTAATCGATAAGTCTTTAAAATTGTTTGAATAACTGACATAAGTTAAATGTGACAACCACAGATAATCACATTACTCTGAACGAGTCTCAAGTAAATATCTCCATCCCTGGATATCCATTTGGCAATTTGGACAACATGATATACACCTGGACTATACAGGTGAAAGCTGACAGTTATATCCTCCTCAAGTAAGTTGCCATTGTTTTTAAAGATTTACCTTTATAAACTAATAGAATGATTTTCATGTGTAAGTTTCATTACAATAACAGCAGGTTTAAATTACGATACATATTGCCTTTCCCAGTATTTTAGACAAAGGGGAAAATTGCCAGTATGATTACATAAGTATATATGACGGACCCTCAACATTTTCACCGATGTTTCGAAATTTCTGCTCGTCAGTACCACCAGGGTTAATGGTTTCAACGAGAAACTCCATATTTTTTTTGTTAAAAACGAAAAGCTCCTACAAACATAAAGGCTTTTATGGAAATTATGAATTACGAGGTGAATATTTTTGTTTTTTTTTTAATATGACGAGATTTAACGAAAATGTTTTGTAAAACGATGTATACGTTTACAATTTGGTTGAACATAAGTATTTATTTTCAATATAAGTTTCCTGTTGAAATATTGTTGCTTTACCTCGAATAGTTAACCCAAATATGTTGAATCTATATAATTTATTATTATGATTATGATTATTATTATTATTATTATTATTATTATTATTATTATTATTATTAGAATTATTATTATTATTATTATTATTATTATTATTATTGTTATTATTATTATTATTATTATTATTGTTATTATTATTATTATTATTATTATTATTATTATTATTATTATTATTCTTATTATTATTATTTTTGTTATTATTATTATTATTATTATTATTCTTCTTATTATTAATATTATTAATATTAATATTATTATTATTATTTGATGTAATAATATAATAAAATTAAAAATTAGTCTACAATTTTTAAATAGCTAAAAACAATTCTCAAATTAAAAAAAAAACATATATGACAGGGATATTGGTTAATTTGAATATGTAAATAATATTGGTGCTTTCACATTACTTTCACCCTAAATTTATAATACATCACAATAATATGTAAAACAGAGAGACACTGTACACTTAATGAATCTGGCAACTTGCCAAGTCCTGGATATCCCTTAAAATATTTGAATGATCAGGAATTGTCATGGACAATCGCATCTTACGCTTCAAAACATATCATTCTAAAGTAGGTTTTGTTTTCATACATTATCTTACTAAAACTTACTACCAATTTAGACCGTTACATTGTACATAACCTCATTTTTCTCAAAATATATTTTTTGTAGCATATCGTTTGTGGTAACAGAGTCTTGTGACACAGACTATATAACCGTGTACGACGGAGATACAAGGAATGCTCGAAGTTTTGACCGAATTTGTGGATGGGGAGTCTCAGGAGTGATTGTATCGACAACAAACAAACTGTTAGTCACTTTTACAACGAACAGTGACGATACGTACATAGGATTTTATGGAGAGTTTTATTCACACAGTAAGTTTTAGATTTGTATATAAAAAATATTAATAATGCGATTATGCGACAAATGCTTAAAAGTAATTTGCACGCTTGTCTTTCTTTTTTTAAGAAAGTTTTGCCGGAATTCCATCGATTCTCTTAATAAACTAGCCTTCCTGCCTATTGCCCAAGTTAATGAATGCCCGAAGGTATTTTTGTAGACATTTGTGCGAAACTCCGTCCAAAATACATTTTAGATTCAAATTAGCTAGAAAGGGAAACGTTTATGTTGTGCATGGTTGATTGAAAATTAATGATGTTTTTATGTGCCAAATTCATTTTAAATGTTTTGAAGCAAACCCGTATTTCTTTCTAATAAAAACAATATTAACATTTATTTAACATTTTCTTTAAAGGAATTGTAAAACTAGATCTCGTTCGTGGTGCACAAGCAACGTATGGCCCTATGTTGTTTCTTGCACAAATATACTACTTATGTGACGCTAGCTAGAAACACATAAATGTTTATATTAACAGTTGTTTTCTTTAAAAACTGTTGATATTGTGTATTTAATAGTATGTATATAAATCTTATTATAATTTAACATAACTACTTTATTGTATACAACATAGAAATTGAATTTTTAGTTTTGAAATAGTACATTTGTATATCTTGACTTACTTTGGCTTAGTCCTCTTTGCTCCTTATGGAGCATAGGGCCTCCACCATTTCCTTCCATTTCTTCCTATCCTCGGCTATTAACTTCCGCTTTCCCTGGGTGTTCCACTCAAGCGCTTGGCGTGTAACATTTGTGTGAGCCTTTCGCAGTGTGTGACCCACCCAGCGCCACTTCCTCCATTTCATTTATAAACAATCTCTTGTCATTTCTTAGTTTCCTTTTCACCTCTTTAGCCTTTTCGTTATATCGAGCGGCTGCTGCTTGTTTTTGCTGCCGTGTTTTTGCTTGATTTAGTTCGCTCTTTAGGCTTTTTCTTTCTTCCACCTTCTGCCATGTATCCTCTGTGATCCAGGGCTTCCTGTTGGGCGCTCTACCTCCTAGAGCCTCTTCGCAGGCTTCAATAGTGGCTTGCTTAAATATTTCCCAGGTGTGTTCAACTGAATCAAAATCTTTCTCTTCTGTCTGTAGAGCTTCAAACCGATTCTTTAGGGTGACCTGAAAATTTGTCCTGTTGTCTTGCGTCTTAGGTTTACTTACATCAAATCTTCTTCGTGGATCAATTTCATGTTGCCTCTTCTTCGCCTTTAGAGATACTAGGAAAGGATAGCTGATATACATAACATATTCTTATAATGATCCTAAAAAAATAGATACACGGTGTTTCATAGATTTGGTGTGTATGTATCTACTAGAATAAAAATCAATGTGCTTTGCAAAGCCTTTTATCCATCAACATTAAATTAAAAATGAAATATGGATTTCTAATGACAATGGTTTCTACTAATTACTAAGTTTGTCTAATGAAGATGATACGTATGTCTGAAACAATCAAACCACAGATGTTAACATAGCACTACTGACGTTATTTTCAACATAAATAGCAACATTTCAACCCCATTGCTTACGTACTAGTATTGTATTTCATGATATTGTGATTACACAATGAAGTAAAAATAAGTGATTTATGTTTATTTACATTACAGTTTAAATAATTAATAACAATATTTGGACTCAGGTTGGTATAATTAGAAGTGCCAACAATAGGTTTAGTAATTTCCAAGTGTTATATCTCCGACTTTGAAGGAGACACCATTTAAAGAATACTAGAAGTTTTAACAGACTTTCCGCTAATTGGGCCAGAGTTTGGTTAACTAAGTGAACACAAACGGTATGCTCAGTTTTGATAAAAAATGAAATAAAAGTTTTATGAAATTATTATAGCGTCTCGCATACGTGAAGATTTGTTTTTAAATTCAATATTTTTGTAATGCATAAAACTTAAACAACATTAAAAAAAAAATTACGACTTTGGATAAGGTATAATAAAATCGCTTAGACATAGATATAATTTCTTAGGATGCGTTATACTTTCTGCTCTAATGTTATTTGAGCATGAATATTTTTTTAATGTAGTTTTATATGATTGTAATATTAATTTAAAAAAAAGTTTTACTCATCCATCAATATTATGTAATATTATTTATTGGAATCACATTAATCGATAAGTCTTTAAAATTATTTGAATAACGGACATAATTTAAATGTGACAACCACAGATAATCACATCATACTGAACGAGTCTCAAGGTAACATCTCCAGACCTGGATATTCGTTTGGCAATTTGGACAACATGATATACACCTGGACTATACAGGGCAAAGCTGACAATTATATTGTCCTCAAGTAAGTTGACATTTTTTAAAGAATTACCTTTTAAAAACTAAAACAATGATTTTCAAGTGTAAGTTTCATTACAATAACAGCAGGTTTAAATCACGATACATTGTTGCCTTTCCCAGTATTTTAGACTTAGGAGAAGATTGCCAGTATGATTATCTAAGAATATATAACGGACCCACAACATTTTCACGGATGTTTGGAAATTTCTGCTCGTCAGTACCACCAGGGTTAATGGCCTCAACGAGAAACTCCATGTTTGTTGTGTTAAAAACGAAAAGCTCCTACAAATATAAAGGCTTTTATGGAAATTATGAATTACGAGGTGAATATTTTTTTGTTTTATATTATGACGAGATTTTACGAAAATGTATTGTAAAACGATGTATACGTTTACAATTTGGTTGAACATAAGTTTTTTTTTCAATAAGTGTTTCCTGTTGAAATATTGTTGCTTTATAATGAATAGTTAACACAAATATGTTGAATCTATAAAATTTATTATTATTATAATTATAATTATAATTATTATTATTATTATTATTATTATTATTATTATTATTATTATTATTATTATTATTATTATTATTATTATTATTATTATTATTATTATTTGATGTATTAATATAATTAAATTAAAAATTAGTCTACATTTATTTAAAAAGCTAAAAGCAATTCTCAAATTTAAAAAATATATATATATATGACAGGGATATTGTTTAATTTTAATATGTAAATAATATTGATGCTTTCACATTAATTTCACCCTAAATTAATAATACATCACAATAATATGTAAAACAGAGAGACACTGTACACTTAATGAATCTGGCAACTTGCCAAGTCCTGGATATCCCTTAAAATATTTGAATGATCAGGAATTGTCATGGACAATCGCATCTTACGCTTCAAAACATATCATTCTAAAGTAGGTCATTATAACATTATCTTACTAAAACGTAGTACCAAATTAGTAAGTTACATTTTACATAAATTCTTTGTTCTCAAAAAAATAATTCTCTGGTAGCATAACGTTTGTGGAAACAGAGTCGTGTGACACAGACTATATAACCGTGTACGACGGAGATACAAGGAATGCTCGAAGTTTTGACCGAATTTGTGGATGGGGAGTCTCAGGAGTGATTGTATCGACAACAAACAAACTGTTAGTCACTTTTACAACGAACAGTGACGATGCGTACATAGGATTTTATGGAGAGTTTTATTCACACAGTAAGTTTTTGATTTGTATATACAAAAATGAGTAATGCGATTATGCGATAAATGCTTAAAGTAATTTGTACAA